ACATTCTTGTGGCATACTTTCACTCAATAATTTATAATAGGCTTCAAGGAGCTCGAAGTTTTTATGATTTATTCTCTCTTGCAGTGAGATATCCCCGAACCTGGGAAGAAAAACTTTTTTAGAATGTTTTGGACCGACATGAAACATGAAACGGTTTATTCTACGCAACGAGGTTTCCTCCAGGGTGTGAGAAATGTGTGAGAGAGATGTGTGTTTTCATATGTTCACAGTAATTCTCATAGGTTTCAGCTTCACCTCTCTGCTATAGTCTGCTGTTCATTAATGCCCACGTTAAACAGCACCGGGAATATATGTAGAAGCTTCCCGCTTCTGATCTCCTCCGGTAAGGTCTGGAAAAGCAGCCTGGGTAACGGCACTTCGACAGTGAAGTGGTCGCTGGAGTTCAGAAATAACAAAGAGAAAAAAGGCAAAAGAGACAGATCAGGAGAAATTCCAGGCACCTTAAAGCTGCTGTGTGAATTTGATCCGTTCGGAAGTTGTAGAACTTGACACTGAAGACAGGCCACAACAGATGGTAAAATAATACACAGGGAATTAAAGGGAAGACAAGAGGGTTCATTGAATTTGGCTGAATGTGTGCATTTCTGCTTGACGTTCACCGTCATCTTTTCCTGTGAATTTCCTCTCTGTTTTGAACAAATAAAGATTCCTTATTGCTTCACTGAAGCATCCAGGAATACTGCTCACTCCCAGATTTGTCAGCATTTCATTTGAATCGTTTGTCTGATAACAAAAAAGAAAGAAAATAACCCCCGGCTTAAGAGTGGGAGCTGTGCTCCCATCAGTCTTTGATTTTGTCAGGTAAACACTTTGCTGCAGTGAAAAGAAAAACCGAGGGTCAAATCACACGTCTTTAATGGTTGGCCCTTCACTTCACTGTGAGAGTAAACATCAGTGCAGTAAACAGTGAACAAACAGAACTAGGACGATGACTCACCGTTGGCCACACACTGACGGCTGCAGGTCACTGAGGTCATCCGTCTTGGCCTCTGTGATCTTGAACCGAACACGCTGCAGGTCTGATATTCCAACCTCCATATCTTCCAGCATTCCGATCTCTTCACCTTAACAGACACAAAACATATGTATTACTAGAAGAATGTTTTTGTTTCACAAGGTTTGGAAGGGTTTTTAAAAAAAAAAAAAAAAAAATCAAGGTCATTCAAGGTCGAGGCTTTCTTTACAAGATTTTTCTTTTTTGTCTTTTGACACAAGAGTGGAAAAAAAAGATTCAGTCGGTGCCAGAACTTTAGAATCCTGAATTCTAAATACTTTAAAAACTACAGTGTCTGTGGTTTATAAAGTAAACTCTGTTATAAATTAAATTATATATTATGACAATATACTTAACTCTGATTGCTTCTCAAAGTGTGTGTGTGGGGGGCCCTCTGGTGGGAAATGGTGACATGACAGATAGGGGAGCGACAAACCAGAAGACATTTTAAAAACTTTATTTTCTCTCTTCTTTTTGAACTTTGTGTTCTTTGATGTTATTAATTTTGATTTATTATAAAATATGACATTACTTATATAAATAAATACAATTTGAAATGTAATTTGCCAAGACATTGGTCGGGGAGACAGCGGCAGGTGAGTAGAGGAATGACCAAAACAGTTTGAGTTTTTAATATATCTGCTCTATACCTTTCATCACTGTCCCTTTTCTAGAAAGCCCAACCCTGATGTTTGGAAATGTGTCATGCTCTAATGTACCTCTGACGTTACTTACTATAGGTGCTGAGCAGGCTCTCAAACTGGGCCAGCAGGCCCACTAGGTGGAGCTGCTGCAGGAATCCTTTGTCCTCCATTCCTGCGTACAATCTCATGATGAAACCACAGGCCAAGGCTGCCAGCTGAGAAGACACACAGCCCATAGGAACAATAGCAAATCAGTGGTACATTCAGCTTAATGGTACATATAATCAACAACACAGCCGATGTGCTCTCAGACCAACAGGTCAGACCGCTTCTGTAGATCACACTGTACGTCCCAGCCAGCGGTGTTGGCAGCAACGTGTTCATTTTAGTGGAAAATAAATGTTCAAGACGTTCTCATACAAACAGTTAGCAATGACAGAGCGTGGATGTTCAGGGGCCCACATACAGCCGGATTAGCGGTCGAGTGGGCCGGACCAGTACAATCATAACATAATTAACCAATAAACAGCCATAAGTCCATGTTTTCATGCAAATAAGTGCAGGTTTATCGTAACAGCTTCATATTTAGTGAAATATAATTTAACCAGCATGAAGTGTTTGTCCATTTTTCACTTTCAAAATTCATTAAGTGGGACAGAATGAACCCCTCTGAGGGTCGGTTTTGGCCCACGGGCCATATATTTGGAGCCTGAAACATGTTTATTAGTCATTTGATCTTTGATCTTTGACCTTTGCTTAAGATCAAAGATCGAAGCCCAACACATGTTAATGTAAGGCCATGGTGATCCAACATGTGGAGAAGGTCTGCTACTGATCCTGTGTCAGTGAAGACAACATTTTACTGATGTGAACGTTTTATAACAACAATGTTATATTCTATAGCTGCACCTAAACCCTAAACACCCTAAACAGTTCCAATCAGTTCCAACAACGGCGTCGACTCCTACTGCCTGACTGAAGACCACGTCTCTCCTCTGCTGAAGGAGGAAACCCTGTGGTATGCTGCACACCGCCTCCTGTAGGAGAACAAATGTCATGGCCTTCTTGGCCTTCTCCACCACCTCTGTCACACACTCCTTCAACCTGGTCACCACAGGCTTCAGCTGCTCCCTCCAATCACCTGTGGACAAATATGGAGCAGAGGAGACAAAGGGCAAAAGTTTGAACGACACTCATGAAACGTAGTCACAGTAAATAAATGGATGTCAAAGGCTTATATTTTTATATTTATATTTCCCCGCTTGGTGTCTTCACTGTGATGTCATCAGCTGTGCAACATACGCAACCCCCGCGACCCTCCAGTTCACTGTACATTTATCAAATCCAAAAAACAGGTATTACTACCTGGTATTTGCAAGTACACAATTGAACGTACTCGACTGGATAAAAACTGTATCAAACATTTAGTTCCTCCAAATGACCTGCAGTTAGATAGAAGCAGGTTTAGTTTTGTAATCAATAGGTCAGATACTGCTTCTGTGGCCATCACTTTGTCTGCTTTCATTTACCAGACTTATCGCTATTCACGGAGTAACCAATAGGGGGCAGTGATGAATAAGAAATGATCAGTTGAGTTTCACCCTGAGATTTCTCGATCCAACCTCTCTCTCTCTCTCTCTCACACACAAAGTTTAATACAAAGCCAGCACAGAACCTCAAGACTCCCATCGTTTGTCAGACAAATCATGTCTTATCTCATTTTCTCAAACACTGCCTCAGCAGTATCCCAGCTGTCATCTCTTCACAGCCCACCTGTCCAGACTTCTAAACTCCCACGACACCTTGTCATAAAAGCCAGTACTTGGCTCTGCACGAAGATTAAAGCCGTCTCATTATTTTTGTCATGTTTGTCTCTGAACGGGCAGATGAGCGCTCGCTGTCACATCGTCCACCGTCCTAATGAATGTGGACATGTTTGTACGTTTGGTCTTTTTAAGCTTTGGCCCTCAGTGGATGTCCTTGATCTCAGTGGACAGACGGCTCACTCAGACAAATGGACCTGCAGAGACACAGACCAATATGAAGGAAGTGACCAGCACTGCTGCTGCTGTCCTCGCTGTTGCTGTCCTCGCTGCTGTTGCTGTCCTCACTGCTGTTGCTGTCCTCGCTGCTGCTGCTGTCCTCGCTGCAGCGAGTGCCAGTTGGCATCTGTTAGAGACTGGGAGCTGGTGTGGATAAGCTTTAGTCGGGATTTCACTGGATATGAGGGACGACTCTCAGCCAGTGGTCAACACTGACGGACTGTGCACATGAAACACTTCTGTAGCGTCAGCTAAAGTTTGGGAAAAGTTCCCTTGGCTCAAACAGGAGGGAACTCTTAGAAACTGTTTTTTCAGAACTTTCTGAACAGTTTTCTCATATGTAGGTCCGGGTTTTGTCCCTTAAATTAAAGGTGCAGTTCGACCGGACGACTAGCCCCATTGCTCCGCCCACATTATTGAGGACATGAATCAGTTATATGTATGGATTGGGGTGGAATTTGGTGAATTTAAAATCCATCCATCCATTTTCAGCCGCTTATCCGTTACCGGGTCGCAGGAGCAGCAGTCGCCACCCAAATCACATTTCACCGTACCAACCCCCCTAACCCTTCCTGCAGGTGGTGAGTCCACTGGAAGGTACCAACTGCCCTAACCGGGATTCGAACTTGGCCAGGAGGTGAACCCTGGGGTTCCACACCAATGACAGAGACGATGTCTCTGGGCCAAAGTGCCACTAATTTAAAACAAAAACCTTTTAATAGTTATGTATGTCTTGAATAACATACATTCAATTTAACAACAGGTTGGACGATCGTGTGTGAAGCCTCTGAGCTGCCGCCCATTTTTTATTTCTAACGTTTTCCTCCAGCGGTAGGAGAACATTGCACATTTGATTGGTTACCAGCGAGTTCCCATCATTCAACTTTAATATCGAACGGCCCCTGGTGTTAATGGTCATGTTTGGCAGACAAACTGCTCCATATATAAAGCCTCTTTCACAGGAGTCACCCACACCAGGGTTGTTGTTGTTGTGAAGCGATGACATCAGCTGGCTGCGGCTCAGCCACCGACTCCTGTTCTTAGAATCGACAGATTACTGTCTTTAAGACTGTTCTACGACTTCTTCTAATTGTTATATCCCTTTGTTTCTACGCCTTTGTGACACATCAAACAACTGACACTTGAAACTGGTGGTTGATCCATTATAATTCACTCTTCCACTTTCTCTTCCTCTTGTTCTTTCATCTTCATATTTTTTTCACGTCACTCTCATTGACACACACATATATATTTAATATATATATTTTTTATAGATCTTCACGCCTCCTCTCTGCAGTGCAGAACTCCATGGCCGCAAGTTTTCCTTCATCTACCCGCTTCCTCCCATTGCAAGTTAAAAAATATCATCTGTAAAAAACTCCTAAACCCATCAGACATTCTGACATCACACCACGACATCTCCTACCACCACAGCTACACGCTTTTCCTTACTCCACCTGCTCCCGACTCTGACCACAGGTTAAGATATCATCTGTAAGAAATCCGATGTAACGACATCCCGAACCCATCGGTCTCTCTGACAGCACACCTCATCATACTCAAACTTTATCCAGTTGTTTTCTTTCTAACGCTTTTCTCAAGTTAAAATCAGAGTTGTCATAGTGTTAAAGGTCAAACATGGCGGACAAACTGTACCATACACGGAGCCATCATTCCCAGAGCTGCGCTGAGTCACGAGACCTTTACCAGTGTTGTTGTGTGAAGTGATGACATCAGCACGCTGCTGCTCCGGCGCCGACTGCTGTCTACTGTTGTCGTCCTCCTGGAGTTTGTCCACCATGGCGATTACACAGTTGAGACACTTGGCAACATTGGCCCACACTCTGTCCTGAAAAAGCCAAAGTATGACGTCAGCAGTCCGGCTCTTACATCCAGTACAGTCCCTGATGTTCGATTCCAAATGTGAACCAAAAAAACATAAAACCCGACTTTAGATTCAAGGAAATGTCTGAGTGTATACTGAGAGAATAATGTCAGAGTTTTTTTTCCGTCTTGTCTCTTACACCAACCTCCAACCAGCAAATCTGTGTTTGTACAAGTACGAAGAAGAGGATTCAAGTGTACGTTTGCTGTAAAGTGGTGTTTGTTTTAGCCTCTCTTGCCTCGCATCGTAAGATCTAAACATGTCTAACTGCGGGGAATTATTTTTGAGAGATAATTAAGTGCTGGTGAGCAGCGTTTGTGATAAATCCCCGCTGCCAGCGCCGCAGACACCGTCCTCATGCACAGACACAACCAGTCATAAACACTTCAATGGAAGGAGGAGCAAATGCCTGGATTTAGTATGGACAACTACACTGCACAGTCAGTTTGTCATGATGAAATGTTGAACTCTGGTGAGAAAAGGCTCTCATTAAAATGAAAAAGTGACGTTTGGCGTGCAGTCTTAATTTTGCAGGATCCAGAGATTATGTGCCATAAAAATGGTTTATCTGTAATACAGCTTACTTCTCTGCGTACACTCTCAAGTGAGGGCCGGCAGTAAAAACAACAGTTTGTCATAATGTGCTTAAATAAATTTCCACCGTGAATAGACGCGCCTTTAAGAACTCACCCATTCCTCCTCGTCGAACTCTGTCTGGTGTGGTATTGAGTCCTGGTGCTTCAGAGTTAGGGGACCTCCTTCTCTGATCGATGTGGTTTGTGATCCTTCCACGTTGTTACACACCGCTGTGTTCTCACTGACTAATGTGGCTGGACTGTGGCCCGGGAGATCCTGGACCGGACTGTGGTTCTGGCCGCAGTTAGTGTGACCCTGCTGCTGACCCGTCTGCACTGGGTTTTGCCTCTGGTTTTTGGAAACGTACCCAGGCTGTGCGGCGTGCAGGGCTAGGAGTGCACTCTTGACCAGCTCGTCTTTAAGTGTGTGAACAAATTGTTCTGTCTGTTGTAGGGAAGACAAGCAAAGAGCAAACAATAAAAGTTATCATGGAGGAGACAAACAAACGGGAGGGGCGCGGGCTGCAGGAGAAAGTGATGTTCTCAGAGGAAGTGGTTGGAAGACAACACCGAGCTCCAGAGTGAGCTGAGGAGCGGCGTCTATTTACAGGGAAAGTGGAAAAAAAAAAAAGACGAGAAAAACCAACACACTCCTACATGAAGTAGCTTCTCTCTATTATCGCAGTACATTCAGCCAGCAACAAAAGCAGCCACAACAAACAACAAACAATTCAATTACTCCTCCTTCAGCCCGCTCCTCCAGAAGCGCACCTCCTTTGAGTCCAAATTCACCAGCGAATGGGAGCTTGATGATGATCCTGCTGCCGAGGAGCCTTAGCGCTCGCTGCCGACGCCGCATAAAAAATGATAAGGGCTCTCCAGAGTAATTGAGTTAGTGCCGCAATAAGCAATTCTATTACTGCTGCAAAATCCAGCCTAACAAACTGCAAGGGCCGAGCCTCCATTAAAGGGAGCCTACGTGTATTTATCATACCAACGCCTACCTCCCTGATGTGGACTGAGGAGAGCACGAATCTGTTAAAATTGCTTGAAGGTTTGAATATGGTGCTGTCAGCAGAAAGAGGAGATAACGGTGGAAAAGTTCCCCGGGTCAGTTCTGTTCTGGTACACGAGAACCTTTGTCAGCATGGTGGTGATTTACTCCTCTGATTGTATCATTAGTCAGACTTTACTCACTGAACTGTTTCACAAGAATTAAGGCATGGAAATAAAACTTTTTTTCTGCAGGAATTCTTTTGTTTTTTCACTTACATTCACCTCAACACATGAAATATTTACAGTGTTAAAGCCGGCGTGTGGGTGTTTTTATAAAAGTTATGCAATCACTCCTGAAAAAAGGTTCAGACTGCATCACCTGGGGGGGGGGAGGGTGCCAACCTAAGCCAGTGCACAGCCCAGCCATATCCCCGTCGTTGACGGGCTTTTGTTTCTGAAAGAGCCCATTTCATCTGCGACGATAACCGGACACATCAGTGTTTATGATGACTGAAAATTCAGTCCAGTTAAATGTTGAGTCGGTGCCTCATCCTCTCTCTGCGCACGGTTGGATCAGTTATTTCGACAGCTTTACAGAATAATAACAGAATCCTCCCATTGAATGTGTTTCTCTGGTGGATACGTTCTTTCAATAAACCTCTTTGTCAAAATTGATGCAATTACAGTATTTGGCAACACAGCAACACAGACGGGTGTGTGTGTGTGTGTTGTGTGACAGTGGTTACCACGCTGCCACTGCAGATCATCTGCCATCATCTCGCTCTGTCACCTGCCTCTCTGCCGCCTTCACGGCCTCTTTCACTACGTCCGTGACTCTGAGAACTTTATTTTCCAACAAAAAGAAATCTGAAATATGTTTTAACGCGGAATTCTTAATACATTTATGGGAAATAGCAACGTCGCCACAAAACAATGTATGTTGAGGACGTTGTAAACTGAGGAAAAATTGAAAGTGTGTGTCTGTACCTCTGATTGGCCGTCCGTCCTGGAGGATGAAACTGTCGCAAAAACTAGTAAAGTAAAAAAGTGACTTCAGATAAGAACATCTCACTGAGAGCTGATGGAACACGTGGCCCCTGTGTTTTACCCATGAGCCAAAGCTAGTAACGTACGGAGAGTTACATGGTCACCACAGGTCTGTGTCTGAGGTTCGTCCTCTGTCAATGTGACGACGACGTACATGACGTGTAAACGCGATTTCGAATTTATTGTCAGATTATTCGGTTGTGAAAAGGTAACTCGTCAATTTTCTAGCTCAGAGTAAACAAAACGTGTTTATACTGATTAATATGATACAACAGTAGCGTTAATGTATAAACAAAAACAAAGACAATTGCTATTCTGGAGCCAAAACTTCAAGGATAATTGTTTCCTATTCATCTCCCCTACGTTTTCACGCTCGACTGCTACGGCTGCATCTCTAAGACGGTGCCAAAAAGCTTCTCCTATAGGGAGCGGAGTTGACTTTTCTCTCTGTCTCTCTGAAGAAATGATTGTTCACATTTAGTCTTTCAGCTTTTTAAAGAACAAAGCCATTACGGCTCCATCTGTTCCTAGATTTAAGACACTAAGAAAAATAACCACAGCGGTGGGGTCATCCATGATCATTAGAGCAGAGGAGGCAGACGACGGCTTCACTCAAATCCACATTGTTCTCACTGTGCAGGAGTCAAAAACGTAAATCATTCGACTGACGATAACTGACGTGGGAGCAGAAGTCGAAGGAGGAGAAGAACAAGCAGCCGAAGAAAAAAAAAAAAAAACTTTTCTCCTTCTGTGCCATACAGTCATTTAAACCGCCAAAGTAAACACCATTAGAAGAAGCTCATGAAATATGCTAGTTCCAGTAAAACTTCAAACCTTGGATTCATATTCAAATTGAACTGTGCTTATCTGACCTCCGTGTTAATTTGGAGTCTGTGCCACGATGCATTATTCATAATCCTTCCTGAGATGAGAGAACAAAGACCAACAGTTTAAAACAATCTGGGTCATACTTCACCACAGAACTCACATATTTGACAGAGTGCATGTGGCGCCGTGATAAGGCCTGAAGCTGCGGCGCCGGCTCCGCTCGCTGCCTTATTCTGTTATTGGACTGTTGTGCTCCAATAAAGTCTCTTCATTCACACTCATCCCACACAGAGTCAAGCCTGAGCTGCAGAATGTTTTAAGGTTAAAGTGTACAAGTGGAAATATTAACTGAAGCC